CCACGGCCAGGACCCCCGCGTACACATTGCCAGAACCACAGGGGTATTCGGTGAAGAGCTTCAGCTCGAACTCGTATCCCGGAGGGCGGGCAGTAGCATCGAAGGCGAACACCCGCCCCACCAAACCGTGATCCTTCTTGAAGCGGACATTGAAGGGGGCGCAGGCAGACAGCGCCAGTAGCTGTTCCCGCACAGCTTTGGGACGCCCGTGCCACTCCTCCGCCCGGCCCCGCATAGCCTCATTCAGTTCTGCCAGACAGTCTGCATTCCTCTGCTGCTTCTCCTTCTCGAAATCGGAGCCGAAAAGTGGACGGGCAGGACTCAAGCCGGGCGCCAGCGTCAGGCCTCGGCCTCCCAGGCCAGACACCGCAGCTGCCAGCAGCCCGGGGGGCATCAAGCTGGGCATAGTGCCAAGCAAGGCCCTGCGCGCCCCTTCCGCCACGGCCTCCTCTCGGCCCAGCCCATTGGCCAGGCGGGACCCTAGGGTGTACTCCAGGGCTGGCGAGGGCAGCGGGAGGCGGCCAGACGATGTGGCTCTGTCATAGCGGTCTGGGCCGGAGACGCCGCTGCCGGTCCCCGACGGCTGGGGCTGGGCCTGCGGAGGCGGTAGCTGGGGACCCTGCGCGGCGGCCACGGCCAGGTCCTTGGTGGTTGGGTGCTTGAGCGCTGGGGGCCCGGGCGAGCGGCCCTCCGGGAGCACGTGGCTGCGCTTGAGCTGGCGGGCGGCGTCGATGAGCAGCTCGATGCGGTCCGCGCCCTCGAAATTCACGCAGCCGCGGCACACCGCCTCGCTGAAGTCCCACACCATGGCCCATGGCATCTTGGGCAGGTCGCACAGGTAGCACCACTGGCGGCGGGACGCCTGTACTGACGCCATGGTCCCCGCGCGCGCGCCGCCAGGTCCCCGCCTTCCACCCGCCGCCGACGTTCGATCCGCGCAGCCAACGTTCGATCCGCGTTCCCGGGACAGCGCGAGCCACAGTCCGGCCTCCGGCTCGGCCTCCCCGCCGGATCCAGGCCCGGCCCCCCTTCCCCGCCCCCTGGGCCCTAAGCCTTTTTCCTCACTCCCGCCTCCCTTGAAAAGGCAGACAGAGGCTCGTCGGCGCCCCCACTCGGTGCGGGCTGCGAGCTGAGGCGCACAGCTCGGGCCCCGCGATGGGCCGCGGGCGTCGCCGCCTCGGGGTCCCGCCGCTCTCGCCGCCGCCGCCGCTGCAACGGCCGCCGCCGCCTCCACCTCCACCTCCTCCTTCTGCCCCAGAGGCCGCTTCGCAGGGAAAGTTACATAACGCGCGGGCAAAGCCTTCTGGGAAACGTAGTCCCGCCGGGGCCGTCTCTTAAAGGGGACAGCGGGCAACAGTGGGGGAACGCCGTCTCTCGCCCAGCAATCCTCAATACCACTAGCCACTGGGCGGGGAGTTCTGCGCGCTCAGAGGAGAATAGGGTCGTGATGATGTGATACGAATGAACAAAGCTACCATGGATTAAGAAATTGCCGGAACTGAACAGGCTGCGGGGCAATCCATTTCTGCTTTGATTTGCTGTGCACCTTTAGGCCAAAGTCTTGCCCTTGCTGAGCCTCCGTTTCCCCGCCCATTAGAAGAAGGCCAATGACGGATTCCTGGGGCGGAGCGAAGAGGTCCTGATTGGATGGTTCAGGGTAGGCATGGGAAGCCGGCTACTGGAGGTTTGTGTATACTTGGCACTGTGACTTCTCTCAGCATCCTAAATATCAGCCTCTGGGGCGGACCACAGCCAGAGAACGGAAAGGGCTAAGGGCTTTCGAGCATAGTGCCTGCCTCAGTTTTCTGATCTGCTAGAGGGGAGTGACCGAGCGCCTTCTAATTCTGTTCCAACTCTGCCTGATCGCTTTGGTCTCCAAAGGGTTACACTGCCGGCTTCTCTGCTCCACCCCTCCAATTTCACTACTATTCCCAAAATGCTCTGCGGGGCGGCCGAATGACGCACTTCCGCTGTCTGGAAGGTTGGGGGAGGCCTTCGCTATTCTCGCTGACGCCCCCACCCCCAACTTTTTGGGGCTCTTTCCGTGCTTTCGGTGTATGGGGTTTGGGTTACCTTACCCTCTTTTGCAGGCCTTTGTGTCGAGAAGGGGCCAGGAAATGGCGAACAAAAGGAGGTTGCTGCGGGGAGTGCAAGCGCCAGACCATCCTTCCCCAACCTTGAGTGCTTACTACGTGGTGGGCCCAGCCAGGCTTGAGGACCCCCTGTCTTCTCTCCCAGTCTTGGAAACTGTGGGAAGGCAGACTTTGAGGAGGGGCGATGCGGGTCTCCAGATTCTAACGCATATAAGCTCCTTCCTCTTTCTGGGCTGGGGTCCGTGTTTTGTGCTCAAAAAGTACCTGGATGACTTGCCAGTCTGCACGCAGAGCGCTTTTCAATCTGGGGAGTCCGCCTGCCTTCCTCTGCTCCCAACCCACTGCGCTACAGCTGCCCGGATTTTCTGCTATCTAAAGTTATTTGTTTTACAATTACCTACCAACTCTATTATTATTCTAACACTTTTTCTCCCTTGGAGGGAAAAGATTACCCATTTTTGCTTCATCCTAAGGAATACTATTCCATAATCACAAGTTTCATGTACTAGCTACGTTTTATTTTTTTGGTGCTAAGGATGGAATCCTTGGCCTCATGCTGAAGCCCTCTATCACTGGGCTACACCCTCAGTCTTTCATCCTCCCTACTTCTTTATTTTTTTCTTAAACAGTAAGTTTACTTCTTGTTCCTCCAAACTTCTGAGGGGTGTCCTTGGGACCCCCAGGCAGCCGTCCTGGTATGTGAGGCAGCCATCCACGCTGCTTTTATCTTGTCTATCTTTTCAACACAAGACCTTTTGCATATATGCTAATTAAATCTGAAATTTAAAATATTTCTTTGTAGACATTATTCATGAGAAACTCTAGTCAGAAGATCCAGTTCATTTAGGAACCCTCCTGCAAGTTCAAGGGCAGGATGCCAGCATCACTTAGCTCTGATGAGGCAGACAGCAAGCAGCACAGCATTGTGGGCTGTTTTTTTAAAAAAAATCAGTTAAAAGTACAGAACCATTAAAAATGGCCATTCATGTCCCCAAACTTACCTTTTTTGGGGGGTACTGGAGAGGTGCTTAACTACTGAGAAGCATGCCCAGCTTTTTTTTTTTTTTTTTTTGAGACAGGGTCTTGCTAAGTTGCTAGGCTGGTCTCAAACTTGTGATCCTCCTGTCTCAGCCTCCAAGATTGCTGGGATTGGCAGGTACTCACTACCACACCTAGCTCCCAAATTGCTTTTGAGCTGGGTTTGGTGGTCCACACCAGTAATCCCAGCAATTTGGGAGACTGAGGCAGGAGGATGAGAAGTCTTGAGGCTAGTCTCAGCAACTTAGCAAGACCCTGTTTCAAAATAAGAAAAAGGATTGGGGATGTAGCTCAGTGTAGAGCATCCCTGGGTTCAATCCTTAGTACTGGGGGGGAAAAGTTGCCTTTGTGCCATTCTTTAAATACTAGTGAAAGCTGGGCAGGTGGTGCACACCTGTAATTTCAGCATCTTGGGAGGCTGAGGCAGGAGGACCACAAGTTCAAAGCCAGTCTCAGCAACTTAGCAAGGCCCTAAGCAACTTAGCAAGGCCCTAAGCAACTTAGCAAAATAAAACATAAAAAAAGGACTGGGGATGTGGCTCAGTGGTTAAGAGCCTCTGGGTTCAATCCCTGAATTAAAAAAAAAAAAAAAAAGTACCAGCTGAGTTCTGGCCAGATTCAGGCTTCAGGTGGGACCAACTGGCCTGTGACCAGTTGTGTCATTCCACAAACTTCTCAGGGCTGGGAATGGAGATGTTTAGAGTCTGTTCTTCCTTGGGTTCCTTCAGGCTGGAATGCAAGCATGCATGTAACTTGGCCTGGGGCCTGGCACAGAGGACTGCCATGGGGCTGGGGCTGTTGCTAATGGTAGAGTGCTGGCCTAGCATGCCCAGATCCTGAGTTCCATCCTCACTATGGCAGAAAAAGGAAAAAAAAAAGTATCTTAAGTGGAAATTTTTGTTTATAAACTGTACATTACTTAAAAAAGCAGTATATTACCACTTTTGTGTGCTAGCAATGTTGGGGACACAGGAGTGATTATAGATAGGTTCACACCCTTCCCTGAGGAAGTTCAGTCTGGTGATGGAGAGAGACATTAAATTTAACTGGTGTCAGGAAAACATTTCCTGAGGTAATATTTGAGCTGAGACCTGAAGAATGTATACATCTAATAGTAGAAAGTAAAGACTCTTACATCTTTATGCTCATTTCACAGATGAGGATAATGGAGGCCCCCAGTTAACAGCTGGCCTGGGCAACACCAGGCCTGAGTCCAGTGTAGTGGTTATTATTTAGTTTGCTACCAGACTCTGCAGCAGGCAGTACAAGAGAACCTGTTGCAATTTAGGCATGGGGGTGCACACCTGCAATCTCAGCAGCTCAGGAGGCTGAGGCAGGAGGATCACAAGTTCAAATCCAGCCTCAGCTACTTAGGGAGGCCCTAAACAACTTGGTGAGACCTTGTCTCAAAATAAAAGATAATAATAATTAGAGGGCTGGGGATGTGGCTCAGTGGTTAAGTGTCTCTGGGTTCTATCCCCAGCACCTAAACAAAACCCAAATAGCACCCCCCCCCCCAAAAAAAAAAAAAAAAAAAAGAAAAGCAAAACAAGTTCCTGTCTTCAAATTCTGGGGGCTATGTGATAAACAGATAAGGCCTGGGTTCACTTAGACATATCATGAAATAGAACTGTGAGAATCTAAGAGGCAGACCCATCTCTGCCTTGGGGAGATCCAGGACGTTCAGGCTGGTACCTGAAGGATGAGGCAGATTTCATTTGAACACAGAACTTGATGGCTTTAAAGGGGGGCTGGGGGCTGGAAAACGAACCACCTGCCTCCAACTTGGAGGGGGTGTGGCCTGCCCGGGAGGGGGCGGGGCAGCCGGAGGTGTGGGGCTCTCAGGCTTGTCTCAGACACAGCCTCAAGTAATTGTATGAAAAATAAGTTTATTGATATCTTGTCACCACTGAGGAGAAAGGAGGGGGCTAAGCTCCGGAGGTCAGAGAGGCAATGAGAGGTGGAGGAGCCAACCCACACCTCTCAATCAGAACCCTGCCCTCCTCTCCTTAGGGTACAGATAGTTACATCCTCTTTGTCATCCATATTCTGATTTGTCTAGCAATTTTTACCCCCTCCAAAGTCTGGGTTGGGGAGGCCCCCACGGGTCAATTCTCTTCAAGTTAAGAACAGGAGTTGTTAGGGCAGAGGGGATGTGCAGACCCGAGAGGTCCCCCCCACCCCAACCCACAAAGGGCATTATAATAAATAACATAAAATAGATGGCTTAGAAGTCAGGGCTAGGGGAGGCAGCCAGGCAGACAGCATTGTACCAGAGAAAGGGGCTGGGGAAGCCTGCGAAGAGGTCCCCAGAGAATCAGGCACTAACTAGCACAGGGAGTGGGGTGCTCACCCCCTGGAGCAGGGAGCCAGGGTGCAGCAGGGAGGGGTCGGAGCATCGCCCCTCTCGCGACTGCGCCAAGCTGTGGGGAAGGGGCGCAGGCAGCAGCGGCAGGGAGGTTTCAGGGCGATTTCCACCGGCCCCGCCTCTTCCGCGCAGGGAACCCTTTCCTCCGCTTGTGTGGGGGGGAGTCGTGCGGAGGGAGCGGGGCTGGGGTCGCCCGGGACGCCCCCTCCTCGCTCCTAGGGGCTATGATGACTCCTCTGGCTGCCACCACAGCCCCATCCACGACAGCAGCCACCACAGACACGGGTTCTGGGGTTACTTCCACCTTGGGCGCGGGCGGGGGCGGCGGGGGCCTGGGAGGCGCGGGAGGGGGCGGGGGCGGCGGCGCGGGGAGCGGGTCGACCGGGGTTCCCGGCAGAAGGGGCAGCAGGGCGCTGAGGGCCTCGCTCAGTTTGGCCAGTCCCTGCCGAAGGGTGCCAGCCAGCTCCCGGATGGCATTGGCAGTCTCCTGCTGGGCCCGCAGGAAGTCCAGGGAGGGGTCTGGGACCGAGGGCGTGGGAGGAGGCCTAGGAGGGGGCGGGGGGCTGGGAGATGAGGGTGCCACTTGGGCCAGCGGCGCGGGTGGCGGTGGAGGGGCTGAGGGTGGTGGAGACAAGGCCAGGCGGGGCAGCTGGACCGTCTGCAGGGCCGGAGGGGGCGGGGACTCACGCTCCTTGGACCGTGGGCAGCCCCCTTCCTGGGGGTTGCAGGAGGGCCGGGCCCAGGGCTCCGGGCTGCTGGAGCCCCCCTTGCTGTGGGCTGGTGTATCTGTAGAGAGAGACATGCAGGTAAGGTATGCATGATTCCCCCCTCACCCCCAGTTCCTTCATTTCTCCTCTACCCTGGCCCGAAAGATCCTTTAAACTCTTTAAAACCTAAGTCAGGCCAGTGACTCTGGAGGCTGAGGCAGGAGGGTCACAAATTCAGAGCCATTCTCCCCAATATAGTGAGGCCCTAAGCAATAGGGCGAGGTGGAGCACATCTATAATCCCAGAAGCTCAGGAGGCTGAGGCATGAGGATCCTGAGTTCAAAGCTAGCCTTAGTAATTTAGCAAGACACTAAGCAATTAGTGAGGCCCTATCTCAAAATAAAAGATAAAAAGGACTGGGGGTGTGGCTCAGTGGTTAAATGCCCCTGGGTTCAATCCCCAGTACCACCATCATCATAATAATAAAAGAAAATATAAAAAACCTAAGCCAGATCACTCCTTCGAACAGAAGCCTATGACATGGGTCAGTCTTGGTCTCCAGGAGAGAATCAATACATTCAACCTATCAGGCCTGTGCCAGCTTTAGCAGAAAGGGGTCTTGTAAGCCTCCTTTGGGGCCAAGCAGCTCCCATCTCACTCAGAGTAAGAGCCACTCTCTGCCAGGCTGTGAACCATCTGGACACAGCCACACCTCTCAGGCTGCAGTGCTAGACCCCGGGGAGGTGGGAGGCCTGAGACAGAAGTGCTCCAACATTGGAGGTGCTTCTGGAGGCTCTCTCAAACCAGGAGGCCAGGATTTTCCAGTTCTTCCTGGGTCTCCACTCACCTGGGATCTCATTCATACTCCTGAATTTGAACTATCTGTACCCAAAGGCTTCCAGATTCTGGGCCAGCCTGAATTTCTGCCCTGAGCCCGACTTTACTTCCCAGTGTCTCCAGCTGTGTCCTGGGCACAGTCCCTGGACCATGTAATGCCTTGGATGTGCTTGCTCACAGCTAAGGGTTTGATCCTCCCCCACCTCTCCTTCCTCCACCACCCACATCACTGCTGATGGCAGCTTCATCCTTCCAGCTGCAGGGGCTAAACACCTTCACTGTGGTTTTCTTTCTCAAGACACCATCCACTTCAAACACCACTGCCTTCAAGCTAAACACAACACTCAACCTCTTCTCTCTACCTCCCTGGCCCCCACCCTGTTCCAACCACTGTCCCCTCCCACCTGGAGGACTGCTCTTGCCTCCTCACTGGGCTCCCTGTCTCCACTCCTTCTTCATCAGCGGCCGAGGGGTTCAACCAAAATTCAATCAGGCAACAGGAAAGAAGCTAGTCACAAAGGACCTTGTATGGCATGATTCCATTTACACGAAAGGTCCAGAAGAGGCCAATCTCTAGAGATAGAGTAGATTGGTGGTTGCCTAGGGCTGGGGGAAAATGGCTTAAGTGACTTAGAGGTGCAGGGTTTCTTTTTGGAATGATGAAAATGTTCTCAAATTGATTGTGGTGATGGCTGCACAACTCTGAGTATACTAAAAGCCCCTGAATTGTCTAGGTGGGTTGCATGCTGTGGGAATTACATCTCAACAAAGCTGTTCTAAAAAACATAAGCCAGACACTGTTCTTTCTCTGTTCAAACCCTCCTGAGACCCCCATCCCACTTAGGATAAAGGCAAAGTCTTTGAGGCCCCAAGGTCTGCACTGTTGGTCCCAATTGCCTCCCTGACCTCATCTCCTCCCTTCTTTCTACCTTCCTCACAGGCTCCGGGTACTCTGGCCTCCCTGCTGGCCCTCAAAACTCAGCCTCCTCCTGACTCAGGGCCTTTGCACTTGCTGATGCCCTGGCCTGGGAGGACGTTTCCCCAGATACCTGTTTGGCTTCCTCCTTCATCTCCTCCAGGTTCAAATGCGGGCTCCAGGGGATCATCTTCCTTGACCATCATACAAAGTAGCCACCATCTTCCCTTTTCTCCCTCCTAGCCCTAGCTGGTTTTCTCCCAGCATGCATCTGCCCTGTATGCAGGCCATCTCTGTTATCTGTCTCCTCCTGAAGTCGGTTCCATTTTGCTCACTGCTATTTACCCAGCAGCTAGAATAATGTCTAGTAGCAATTCTTTTTTCTTCAAATGAGAAAAGAACTGTGACCTCCAGAGTTAGCACTGACTGGGCCCAGGGCCCAGGTCCTTGTGGCAGGTCCCAGTGCCCACAGGGCAAGTGCAGCCCTTCCTGCGGAGACCAGGTCTCAGCTCTTCCCTCACGGCCAACACACATGCTGCTCCCTCCCCTATGTCACACCCCACCTGGCCTGGCACCTCCCCTTGCTCAGTTCAGATGTTCCCTCCTTGGGGAAGCTGCCTTCATGTTCCTGGCCAGATCAGATGGTCCTAGTCTCCCCCAAACCACCAGCCACCTCCTGTCTAAGTGCTGGGGGCCCAGCCCCCTGGACCAGCCAGCCTGGGAGGCCAGGAGAGAGATGTTGGACCTGACAGTCCTTGACACATTCCTCATCCAGTCCTCTCAGCCACTCTCTGGGTGGATTCTATTGCTGTTACCCCATTCCACAGATGAGGTGACCTGAGGACCAGAGTGGGGTCCCATAGCAGTGGAAGAGGGGTCTGGATCCAGGCTAGCTCCAGAGCCTGCGCTTTTAACTACAGCTTGGCAGGGGCTGTGACTCTGGGGCAGGGTGGGGGTGTCAAGTCTTCCCTATAAGGAGCATAGAAAATGCGTCACTTGGAAACCTGACTTTTCTAGGCTATTGAATAAAAAGGAATGGAAAGTGACCCAGCCTGCACACCCACAGGGCTCACAGGAGTCAGGGAAAGGACACTATGGCAGCTAAAATCATATGTATTCATAACCTTGGGGCCTCAGTTTTCCCAACTGTAATTGAGCACATGTTTAAAGATGGGACTAAATACTAGAACATCTTCCTGAAGGCCAACCTGGGGATCCCTGAACCCACTATAGATACAGGGTTTAAGACAATGCCTGGCACATAGTAAGTCTTCAATGCTGTTATTCTTTCAAATACTATGTCAGAGATAAATGATCCTTAGTTTGTTGTTTTCTTTGGTACTGAGGATTGAATCCACAGTTACTTTGCCACTGAGATACATCCTTAGTCCTTTTTATTTATTTATTTTTAATTGAAAAGACAGAGGCTTTGCTAAGTTGCTGAGACTGGCCTAGAACTTGCAATCCTCATGCCTTGGTCTCCCCAGTTGCTGGGGTTACAGGAGTACATCACCACGCCCAGTTTATAAATACTCTAACTGCCCAAGGCGAGGCTGCCCCAGGCCCCATTTCTGTCCTTCAATATGAGCAGTTCTCCATTTATGAGTTTCACACAGTGTGGGAGTCTAATGATGGATGTTTTCAGCCCATACTTGCCTCAGGGACTTTGCACATGCTGCTTCCTCTAGCTGGAAACCATCTACTAGGCTCAATCTCTCCATTTAGGACTCTGCTTCCTTTTACCACCTCTGAGAAGCCCTCCTGGAATGCCCTGCCTATACTGCTCCCTTCTATCATTTACTACTTTCTTAATATGCAGTATTTTTCTTCCTGATATATGATATGTTTGGGGGGCTACTTGTTTGTGGCCTGCTTCCCCCAACTACAACGTCAGCTCTGTAAGGGAAGGGAATTCATCTTTTTATCTATAGTATTCTCAGCACCTGCAATACTGCCTTGCCTTGGAAGAGGTTCTCAATAAATACTTATTGAACAAGTGAATTAATAAAGCATTATAAAAAATAACTTTGTCCTCTGTGCTCTGGTTCATTGGGGCCATTTTACAAAAACATCAAGGTTTAAGTCAAACTGAGAAAGGTCCTGAACTGAGAATGTGACTTTCCTGCTCAAGACACTTTTATGCCTCTGAAATTCCCATATGATGAAGTCCAAAGTCCTGACCTTGACTTACAAGCCATGTGTAATCAGATTCTGGTATACCCATTAACTCTCAGTAACTCAATAAAATATCAATTATTGTTGCTGGGCAATATACCCAGTGGTTAAGTGCATGGACTGGGAGTTGGGACAAACACATGTGCTGGGTCCCCACACTCTTGCTGTGTGACCTTGGGTGGGAGAATGAGCCTCTATGAATCATATGCTCTTGAGTTGCCTTATCCATGTTCCTTGTTTTCTCAAACCCTTCACTATGAATAAAACTCAAACTCCCCACCATAGCCTAGCATAGTCTCAACTTTGCCCACCTTTCTGACTTCATCTAAAAACTTTTGTTCAATGTTTTTGCTTCAAAAAATTGGCTTTTTTTTTTTTTTTTTTTTTTGCCTCTGTGCATTGCACATGCTCTTCCCTTTATCAGGAATACTTTCTCTACTCTTCTTCATTCTGTTTTTTTCTTTTCTTTTTCCATACCAAGGATTGAACCCAGGGGCACTTAACTACTGAGCCACACCCCCAGCCCTTTTTTGTTTTTTTATTTTGAGATGGGGTCTCTCTAAGTTGCTTAGGACCTGGCTAAACTGCTGAGGCTGGCTTTGAACTTGCAATTCTCCTGCCTCAGTGTCAGAGCTGCTGAGATTACAGGCCTGTGCCAATACTCCTGGCTGTTTCATGCATGCTGTGTCTCATTCAGCTCTGACATCCCCTCCTCCATCCCCCAACCCCCAGGCTGAGCCAGATGCTGTCTCTGGACTCCTACAACCCCTGGGTTCCCCTGCCCCAGCCAGTCCCATCACTCATATCCATCGCTGTTTCCCCCAGCTGTCCCAGTCACTGATGTGTTATACCATCTAGCACAGGGCAGGTATTCAGAAATGGAGTAGAAGAAATGATAATCCAGAGACTAGGCTAAGCAGGAAGTGAGTCTCTGTACCCAGTTCTCCATACCTGTACTGGAGGCATGACCTTGAGAAAATTACCAGGCTTCTCCAGTCTTTGACTTATAAATTAGTGAAACACTATGTACTTCCCAGCTTTAACCATTATACCCAGGGCTAACCTTGACTGTTAGCAGACTCTGTACAAAGCAATTCGCCCAAATTAACTCATTTAGTCTTCCTGGCAACCCCTGAAGGTGGAGACTATTCTTATCTTCACTTTACAGATGCAGAAAGTGATGTACAGAGGCAGAAAGTGACACGCAGTGGCTTCTGGGATGCCATAGTTGAGTGGCAAAATTGTGACTGGCACCCTATTTGGAGACAGTCTACTTCCAGAATCACTACCCTTAGGATGAGTTTAATGAGTCCTGCCTGTTCAGAGATGATCCCCGGGGTGGACTCAAGCCAGGTCTCCTAGGTCTGGTTCCATTCTTGACTCTGGCAGTCATTAGCTGTGAGACCTGAAGCAAGTCATTTTATTTTTCTGAGCTTAATTTTCCCAACGGTATAATGGGGACAACAGCACCCGCTTCCCAGAGTTGTAGTTAGGATCTGCTTAGCTACATAAAGGACTTGAACAACGCAAGAAGACTGTGCATTTGCATTCGCTGAGGTGATGGTGAAGGAACTCACCTGCCCGTCGGTCCTCCCTGCGGTCCTCCGACAACACATAGCGCTGGGCACAGGCGCTAGGGGCGGGCGGCTGTGAGGAGGCGGGCGGCTGTGAGGGGGCGGCTGCAGGGGGCTCCTCTGGCCCGGCACCAGCCCCTGATCCCCCCACACCAGGACCCAGGATGGCGAAAATGGTCTCCTCCTCCGCGGAGAAGGCGTCCTCAGCGGCGGGCCCGGCACCCTGCGTGGAGTGCGGCACGCGGGCCAGCTTCTCCTTGGTGCGGCGCTTGAAGTCGTTCCAGCGCTTCTGCACCTCTTGGCCCGTGCGCTTCCAGCTGGTGATGCCGTTGATCTTGGCGGCTATGCCGTCCCACACGCGCCGCCGCTCCGCCACGCTCACCCGACGGCTCTGCGCGCCGTAGAGCTGCGGGTAGTGGGCGCGCACCTCCCGGATCAGGATCTGGTTCTCTTCGAACGAGAAGCGCGGCTTGCGCAGCCGGGTGGTTTCCTCCGCTTCGCCCGCCGCCGCTGAGGCCATGGCGCCCCCCGACGCCGCTGTCCGGCCGCCTGGCGCATGGGGGGCGCCGGCGCTGCGGGCAAAGGGCGTACAGCGCTGGCCGGGGCTCAGTGTCCCCCGCCGCCCGGACAAGGGCTCCTAAGTCCCTTGGGCAGGGGTGGGGGCGGGGGCGGGGACGGCGGGCTGTCAGAAGTGCCTACTGATAGCTGACACCGGCTGAGCGCTCATTCTGTGCTTCTCGCGGCGCAGAGTGCCTCGCCAAAGAGTTGATGGAAATTGGGGGAGGGTCTGGAGGGATGGAGGGAAATAAAGAAAAGTGGAAGGAAAGGAGGTGTCTGCAGGAGTTAGAGGAGAACGGGGGCACGGGAGAAGAGCAAAGGGAAGGAGAATGCGGATGTCTCGGGGGCCAAAGAAGCATGGGGATAAGGAGAAGCCGAAGGGACTATGCAGCAAGAGGACATCTAGAGCAGAGAGGCGCTCTGGGGGTTCCGAGGGCAATGGGGGGTCTGTAAGACCCATGAGACGGGGCCCTGAGAGGATATGTCAGGAAATAGCGGTGAGATGGGAGCTAATGGGTCAGCGACAGAGCTGGGACGATAAAATATTAGGGATTAGGGTCTGCAGGGATTGTGGGGGCGCTGGGATTGCCAGGAATTGAGGAGACCTCCGGAGATAACGGGGGTCCGAGACCAGCAGGGGACAACGGAGGCTATTTGGGACTTCAGAAAGAGTGAGGGTCGCGGAGGGGGGGGAACCGAGTCGGGCCGCGGGTCACTCACCGGCGCCGCCGCAGCCCCTGCCTGCCGGTGGGTCAGGGCTCGGGCGTCTGCGGCCTCTTTCCTCCCCCCGCCCTCTCCCTCCCCTCTCTTGAGCCCCGCCCCCGGCCGCGCCGAGAGCCAAGGCGCACGCGCGCCTAGCGCCAGTCAGCCCAGACAACCTCACAGCCCGAGATTCATTCTCATTTCCCCAACACGGCGCAAGCGCACAATTGCCCTCTAGCGGGCTCGACCAGCAGGCTGCAGCTGCGCAGCCGCAAATTTAGCGCTGAGCTCGTTCCACTAGCCTCCTGGTTCTACAACTACGCACGCGCGAACTCCTGTCGCGCGCAGGCGCGTCCCTCGTTCCCCGCGGGTTTTGGTACCTGGGCTTGATCCCAGGGCAGACAGAATGGAACTGCTGGGACAGCGCTAGGACCGAGCGGCGCCTCTGCCTTTCTACAGTTTTCCAGCCCACTCGGCATTCTAACTACGCAAGAGTCTAGAGAAAGGGGAGGGAGGCCGAGCTGGAAAGGATGGGAAGCACTTCGTCTCCATGACAACTGCGTGGGTGGTGTGGGGGTGGCATTAGGGAACCTCAACGCCACCACCCTTACCAGCCCCTGCTCCCGGCACCGGCGGACTAACTACCGCCTACGAGTTGAGGCGGGGCACCCTGGGGATACTCCGCCTCCGGCGATGCAGTAACCATAGCAACCCACCAACCTCCCAATCACTTTGGGAGGCCCCCTGTCCACACATTTACGTCACGGCTTGGAGAGGGAGATCTGAGGGAGGAGTTTCTTGGCCGCCCCGCAGGGAGGTTGATCTTGGCGCGGGCCTACTTTAAGGAAAGCACGGAGACGGGAGTGAATCTGGAGAACGGGTTGAATGAACTGGATGAGCGGATGAGGCGGTTAAGTCCGATTAAATTTTGTTTAGCATCCTGCAGGAGTCTTCAAGGTCATTCAGCAAAGAGGACTACAATCATCAATTCAGCAACTGTTTTATGAGTCGCTCACATAGCTTCAGGTGTAATGAACAGAAAAAGTCAAAACTGCCTACTCTTATCGAGCACATATTTAGTTGAGAGAAACAGATGATAAAAGAAAATGTATAGGTGAGAAGGAGGAAAATAAAGAAAGGAAAGGGGGTAGAGGATGGAGGTGTTTGGGCCTGGATGTCTGTGATCTTTTTTTGTTGTTTTGTTTTTCGAAGTAATGGTGATGGAACTCAGGGCTTCACACATGCTAGACAAGGGCTTCACTACGGAGCTCCTCCCCCAACCCCTGTAATTTTAAAATAAGGTGGGCAGTAAAGGCCTCGCTGAGTAGATGACCACCGAATTGAGACATGAAGGAAGTGGGAAAGCAAGTGCAGCCAGAGATGAGACTGTGTGTGCTGTGTTCCACGAGCACTGAAGAGGCCAATGGAGCTGATGTAAAGAGGACCAGATCGTGTGCAGCCATTATTCTGGGTAAGGTGAGCGGCATGGAGGGCTGTGAGTAGAGGAAGGTGAGCTCTGACCCAGGCATAGCTGACTTGAGGGAGCCAGGATGGGACGTGAGTGTCCAGTGAGGAGGTGCCTGCAGTGGTTCAGGGGAGACAGGTATTGGCTGCTCCAACCAGGGTCCTGGTAGCCCTGGAGGTGGAATTGGATATGGTATGAGAAAAGAGGAGGAGACAAGGTGACTTTGGCTTGAGTGAAGGAAAGGATGGAACTTCCAGATGTGAGGATGGGCAGGGCTCCAAGATGATGAAGAGTTCAACTTTACTCAAACTTGAGTTGCACATTAGTTAAGTATGAATGTTAGATATTTGAGTCTGGACTTGAGGACAGACATCCAGGCTTGAGAGATAAATTTGGGAGTTGTCAGTATGTGACATTTAATTCCGGAGGACTAGGTGGGTTACTAAGGAAGCAGATGTAGATAGAGAAGAGTTCTGAAGCCTGAGGCTGCACATTCCTACGTGCAAGGTAAGGGCAGAAATCAGCGAAGGTACCAAGGAGGAGCAGGGCTGTGTGGTGGCCCAGAGGCCAAGTAAAGGGTGATTTTGAGAACGAGGGAAAGACTCAGGGTGCCAAATGCTGCCCAGAGGCCAAGCCCAGTGTAAACTGAGAACTGGCTACCAGAGCTAGCAAATATGGAGATTGTCAGTGATCTATATTCATTTGTAGTACTGGGATCAAATTCTGGTCCACACACAATCTAGGGAAGTGCTTTTCAGCCGAGCTGTATTCTCACTTCAGTTGTACAATCCTTTTTTTTTTTTTTTTTTTTGGGGGGGCCGTACCAGGGATTGAACTCAGGAGCACTTAATCACAGAGCCACGTCCCCAGTCTCTTTTGTACTTTGTTTAGAGACAAGTTCTCACTGAATTGCTTGGCACCTCACTTTTGTTAAGGCTGGTTTTGAACTTGCAATCCTCCTGTCTCAGCCTCCCAAGCCACTGGGATCAGTTATATAATCTTGAAAGAGCATTTTTGCTGGGCACAGTGATGCACTCCTGTAACCATTCACACAGGAGACTGAGGCAGGAGGATGACAAATTTGAGGCTAGCAAGACCCTGTCTCAAAACTTAAAAAAAAAAAAAAAAAGAAGAAGAAGAAGAAGACTGGGATTCGAGCTCAGAGTGGAGCACCTCTGGATTCAATTCCCAGTGCTGAAGGGTGGGGGAAGCATTTTTGGTGGTCTGGTGAGAGTGATGGCTAATTGAGTGTGTTCAGGAGAGGGTTTAGCAAAGACAGTCCTTTCTAGCATTCAAGTGGAGACATGGGTCTTATTTGGAAGAGAGCTTGGGGTCACGTGAGACTTATTTAATATAAGAAATCTGACTGGTTTCTGTAGAGGAGATTGAGGCTGCAGGGGAGAGAGGGGAGAGCATTTAAGTCCATCAGACTAAGAGGTCACTCATGGAGCAGGTGCAACTCCTTGAGTTGGTCCAGTGGGTTTGACCCAGAGCACAAGTGGAAGGGGACTAAGGGGCCTGGGTCCTGCAGTGGCAGGGGAGGGGATGCAGGGCTGCTGCAGGCATGAGGAGAGCTGTAGGGTCAGGAGACGTGAACATTCTCTGTTGTGGTCTCAGTAGAGCAGGAAGCTGGGTCACGGGTGACAGGGAGATGCTGGGTTAGGGGACAAGAGATATAAACTTGGGAGTCGTCAGGGTCTCATTGGGGACGGGGAAATGTTGACAAGTAGAGCCAACCTGAGATTGCTGGTGATGAAACTGGAGTGAGGCAGGCCCTGGGGTGTGTTTCTCTGGTCCTGCTTTTGTGAGCAGTGGCCAGCTGGTCTTAGGTGAGGTCCCGCCATGTGTCATGAGATCAGGGTCCCCACAGGGCATTATGGGCAATGTTTTAAAGGAGGTTGAACATGAGCTGTAAGCAGGGTTGAGCAGGGAAGGACAGGGGCTGAGTGTCAGGAGAGAGCCAGAGGAGTGGACAGTCAGGGGACATCTGGGGCAGGGGTGAGGAGGGAACTGGGGACAGGGAAGGGAGAGACTAGATCAGGGCAGACCGTGGCATGGTTGGGAATGAACTGGAGAGACAGTTTGAGAGGATTCAGAGCAATGGGAAGGGAGGGGAGGGGAAGTATAGGGGACACCCAGGTCCCTAGCCCAGGAACCAGATGAAGGTGTGGTTTCACCTAGGATATGGTGGTTGTGGGCTGCTCACTGAGTGTAGTGGCTGTTGCTGCTTGTGTCCCAACCCCCAGCCCTTCAGTATGTGACCTTCTCTGAAAATAGGTCATTGGAGATGTCCTTAGTTAAGGTGAGGTCATGCTGCAGTAGGGTGGGCCCTTGATCCCAAATGATGAGTGTCCTTGTAAGAAGAGGACAGAGGGGCTCAGGGGCAGAGGGCTGAGAGGCAGAGGCAGGAGCAGTGCAGCCTCAAGCCAGGGAAGGGCCAGGGCTCTTGGAAGCGGGAGGCCTCCCACATCCTGATCTCAGGTGCCGGCCTCCGGGACCAGGCGTCCATTTGTTTTGTTTGTTGGTTTCTTCTTTCTTCCACTGGAAATTGACCCCAAGGGCACTCTACTGCTGAGCTACATCTCCAGCCCTTTTTATTTTTTCTTTTAAGACAGGGTCTCACTAAGTTGCTGAGGGTCTCCCAAAGTTGCTGAGCTGGCCTTGAACTTGAGTTTCTGTGAGGGTGGATGCATCACTGTGCCTGGCCGGTTCCTTTGTTTGGAACCACTGGGCTTGTGGCACTTTGTGACAACAGCCCTAGGAGATGAATTGCTGGGCTGCAGGCTCCCTGGGAGTCTGGGGGGAGAGGCTAGGGCCTTGGTTCCTCAGCTCCCTGAGCGTCCCCAGTTCTAGTTCAGACAATAATTGTTGAATAAATGACTCAATTCATTACCAAAAAATTTGATGATCGTGATTTGTCTGTCTCCAACCCTGAGCCTCTCCGGGGTGTCCATCACTTCCAGAAATTTCACCTTGGATGCCCCCAGGTACTATGTATCCTCCATTCCCCAGCTGACTCAGCATCTGCCCTTTCTCACTTTTGCAGATCTACCCCCCCCCCATCCTGAGTCCTGAGTATTTTCCTGAGCACTGAGCATGAGTAGTTCTCCCAAGTACTGAGGACACCATCCTTTGCTTTCCATAACCGCTGCCCACACCTTGTCAGGGATCAGTCCCTTTAAACTGTCACTCAGTTGAGAGGCCATTGGCCTAGATATGAATCAGAAAGGGGTGCCCTTCCTCCAGTGGGCAGAGCAGGAACAGCAGGACCCCTGCTGGGTGCTCTTGTGTAGGACTCCCCCTGCCCGCCATGCCAGCACCCCAGCTCTGAACTTGGGCTTCTTTTATTTTCCCCCACTGTTTGGTTCCACCTGGGAGTCAGGCTCCTGGGGGCAGAGCTGCGTATTCAGAGGAGCTGTGAGTGGAGGACTTAGTTGGGGTCTTTGGTTCTCCCTGTAACCAGTGTCTGGATGAAGAATCCACAGAGTCCACGGGTGGATTTGAGCGTCTTGAGAACGAACACTAAAGGCCAGGTTCTCTCCAGGGTCAGCAACATCCTGAACTCTCTGCCCGCCCCACCCCGTCCTCCACTCTGATCTTCTGTCCTAGCCAGCTTCCTGCAAATTCTACAAACACACCAGGTTCCCAGTGCCACCTCAGGACCTTTGAACTTGCTCTCCCTCTGCCAGGAATGCCCTCCTCCAGATACTCTGTTGGTCCCGCCTTTCATTTGGACTCTGTTCAGATGTGACCCACCTGACCACCAGCCTCTTCCACTCTCCCTCTGCTACCCGACCTTGTTGTCCTTCACTGGGCTTCTCACCCTCTAAACATTATTTTAGCACCCTCCACTAGAATGTCAGCTCCACGAGGGCAGGGACCTTGTCTATTTTGATCCCACTGTTTCCCCAGTGCCCAGAACAGTGGCACCTAAGAGATACTCAATAAAAAATTGTGCAACAATGGAATAAAAACCCCGTGATAATACACGCAGCATTTTGTGCTGGTGTGTATGTTTCCTGGGAGGCTCCATATTTTCCAATACTTATCTAGGGAGGCCTGGGAGCCCCAAATTTAAGAACTACCCAAAAGTCAAATCTTACAGGGTGGGATGGGAACCCCCAGAGGGAATCTGGGGTCAAGGAGCAGGCTGGGTAGGAACCTGGGAACCCGGACACATGGGGACAGGGCTGGAGAGGAGCCCTGCATCCTTTCCCACCCCACCTGCTGCTTCCTGGGATTTGGGGCAAATACAGCTCCTGGGCACCCTCCCCCATCTCCAAGGGCAGGGCCAGGAGACAAGGCAGAAATACAAGTACTTCAAGGACAAGTCAAAACGATCTTTATTCACCAGAGCTCAATGCCCAGGCCCTCCATTCTGAGCCAAAAAGCAACCAACTTGTTGTGCTCCATTTGTGTAAAATAAATAATAAATAAATAAATAAGCAAGCAACCAACCAACCAACTTAAAATCTGACCAGGGCTCTCTCTTTTGTCCATAAATAAATAAATAAACAAACAAACCAACTTTAAATCTGAGAAGGGCTCACTCTTTTGCCCTCAAATAGATAAATAGATATATAGATAGATAAATAGATAAATAAGGCCACCAACTTAAAATCTGACCAGGGCTCTCGTTTGCCCTTAAAACAAAATCTAGGCAGTTGCCATATTCCCATCCAGGCAGGCAGATCTCTTTCCCGTGGGAGATTCACAAATTTAACTGTTGGAGGATGAAAAAGTCACCTCTCATGATTTGGGGGTGGGGGGAGGTGGCAGGGAGATGCAACTCACTGCAGGAAGGTCCCACGGGGAACTGGAGTTGGGGACAGCAGTGGAGTGAAATGGGTTGAAGAATGAAGAAAAACAAGGGAGCCTGAGAGTGTCCGCTCACCACAAGGCCGCAGTCCAGGTAGCCTGGGAAGACACAGGGTCCCTTGCCTCAGCTCCTGGCGATAGGCGATGAAGGCAGGGAGGAATGAACAGCGTGGTCCCTGCTGCCTCCTGGGTCTGCAGGTGCTGAAGGACCAGGGAAGGTGGGTGTGGAGCCAGCGCCCATTCTCAAGTTCTCGGTGGGAGCGTCGGGCCAGCTTGTCACCCACTCCAAATTCTGAGGCCAGCTTGGAGAAGCACACGGGGTCCTGTGGGGCCAGGGATCCGGGGTTCCCCCAGGCCTGGGGCTGAGAAGTCAAAGGAGCAGGGCTAGTGCTACCAGCAGGCCCCAGAAGGACTGAAGTTCTGAGACCTGTGGCCCAGAGACAGCCACGCGGGCGGGCGGTAGTGCTCAGCGCAGGGCTCCTGCGCCAGGCCTGGCTGCCAGCAGCCTCCGTTATTTGGGGATCCAGCAGGGATGCAGTGCGGGGGACCAGGGATCCCAGGGCTGTGGGAGTGGGAGGGAGGGTGGAGGGACTGGGTGGGGCTGATCCGGGAGGGGTGCGGGGTGCGGGCGGTGGGCACCTCATGGTCCTCAGCGCTTGACCTTGCGGCCGGCTGAGTTGCGTCCACTGCGGCGGTAGAGGGACTGCTGGTTGCCGTTGAGAGGGCAATACTTGAGAGTGTGGGCCTGGCCCCCGGTGGCGCCGCACAGGGGACACACGTAGTGCCTCAGGATGGGACACAGCACCACGCCCTCGGCTGTCTTCAGCTTGTGGGAGGAGTAGACGTGGCGGGACTCCCCGTTGTGCTTGCAGAAGTTGCAGAGGGCAGTCCCCAGCCCCTGATCCTGCCCCAGCTGGGGGCCAGGTCCCTGCTCCTCCAGCTCCTCTGCCTCCAGCCTCTGGCTCCTGCTCTGGGTCAGAGTCAGCACCACCTGGTTCAGGTTGAGGTAGTCCTTCCACATGTCAAAGGGTGGCAGCTCCATGGCAGGGGGCGGCTAGAGGGGGGCTGGGCCTGAGGACCTGTGGGCAGGAGCAGCAGTGTTTTGTGGAGCAAAGGAGCTGCACCCCCTTTTATACTCCCCAGAGCCCCTTCTAAGCAAAGGTGGAGCTTAGTATTTAAAGGGCCCACTCCCGCCTATGACCCCCATTTGACTCTGGTCTCCCACGGAGGTCCAGAAGGAGGTCATTTCCAGGTCCAGGTCCTGTTGCCTCCAAGGTGCTGTGAGTCCTCTGCAAAGGCCCTTCCACTCCCTGGGCCTCAGTTTCCCTGTATGCTCAATTAGCATATATGGTTTTAAATGCCCTCACCATCCTCCTTTCTCCAAGGCTGGAGGGTGATCCCTTTGAATCCTCCAGAGCCATTGCTATTCTTTGTAACTGTCCCTTATTGTGAGTCAGACACTGGACGGTACAATCACCTGCATGATCTGACTTAGTCCTCACAATATTTCCATGAGGGCCACAGTCATGATCTTGTTTTATGGATGCTGACTGAGGCTCTGGAAGGGAAACTCATTGGCCCATGGTCACACAGCATGCAATTGGCAGGAGTGGGCCTGTGGAACTCCAAAGCAAGTCCTTCTTAAACCTTTTTATCAATCCTAAAGTGGAAGCCACTTTTCCCCTCCTGCTATGCTGGGAATGAAACCCAGGGCCTTGAGCATGCTAGGCAAGTACTAGACCACTGAGTTACATTCTCAACTACTTTTGTGTGTGTGTGCATGTGCTTGTGAATGTGTGTGCTCTAGGGATTGAACATAGGGCCTTGCCCATGCTAAGCATGCACGTTACCACTGAGCCACACCTCCAGACCCAGAAGGAGACACTTAGTCAAGGAATATTTATTGGGCATATGCTACAGTGCTCAGTGCACATGATCTCTTTGAATGTCAAGGAGGTGACAACGATTATTTACATTTTATAAAGGAGAAAAAGAGACTGTGAAGTTAAAGAATGTACTTAAGGTCACACAGTAGGGAAGAGGCAGAGTTGAGATTGACACCTATGTCTTATCTCCAGAAACACTGGGAATTAATGTTAGAAGGGGCAGAGGACCCTGGCCGTGAGTTGAGCACAATTTTCCCATAGTTTGGATAGGGGACAGAGAGCATCATCAATAAGTGCTCAGGAAGCAGCCCCAGGTTCAACCCTGGCTACTCCCTGCAGCTCTGAACAGCTGGTTATTTAACTCTGCCCAGCCTCAGTTTCCTCTTGTGTTGTTCCAAGATGATGTCAGCACCTGCCCCAGAGCACGGACTGGCTGATCACTAAGTCCCAGCACAGAGCCCGGCCTGGGCCAGGTGCTCATGAAATGCCACGATGGTGACTCAGACACAATTAATGCAATAAGCCTAGGGACTCCCTTGCTGAAGGTCTCCTTGGGGCCAGTCCCATGCCCAGGGCTCTCTTTGAACACCCCTTTCCCAGACCCTGGGAAGGAGGGTCTATTAAAAGTCCCATTGCACAGAGAGCTTGTCCCAAGTCATATATGGTCAGTAAGTGGTAAGGTGCAGCCAGGGCTGTCTGTCTCCAAACCCAGGCATCCTCTTGTCCCCTGGGTGCCTGCTGTGAGCCAAATGTAAGTGATCAGGAACAGCAGCAGAGCTTGGAGTGTCCTGCCTCTTACAGGCAGAGACTGAGCTAGGACACCAGAAGAGGGGAGGTGGTATCCCAGTGACACATTTGGACGGATGTCCTTGAAGGAAGAGAGGGTGGTCTGCATTGTGAAGAACCAAGGGGACCAGGACAGGCATGGGAACCCTGTGCCAAGTGCTTTGTTTAGGGACACAGCAGTGACCTTTTCGGTGACCTTTTTAACTCAGGGTTGAGCTACCTGGGTGCCTAGGGCCTGGACCCTGCGACCCAGTGACCATTACTGCAGCTGTGCTGGGAAGACTGATGGAAGGCAGGGGCGGGTTTGAGGTCCCTGACTCCCCTGAACAAGGGCACAGACTGGAGAATCCCAGATTCCGGGGCCCTCCCCGTGGGTCCCCCCCCCCTTTCTCTTCCATTTCATCCCCCCCCCATTGTTTACTTCCAGACTCTGTTCTGGGGCTCCTCTGCCCTGCCTCCCTCTCCGATGTTTTTCTCAGGGAGTTAATTGGACCAGCCTCTCCACAGCCTCTTTCTGCTGGGCCCGCAGCTCTGGGAACCCAGAGGGTCCTGGCCAGAAACTCAGGCCAGGTGTTTACTGCTGACTGCGCCCCAGTCCAGACGTCGCCCACTGCTGGCCGCCCACGCCGTCTGTTTACTTGAGTTTGCTGTCCGCCTGACGCCAGTTGAAAATAGCCCCTGGGGTTCAGAGAGGCGTGGGAGGGGCTGAGGTTATAAATCCTAAAAGGAGGGGGAGACTTGCAGAGACCCAGACAGGGAGATGAAGACCCCAAAGGTGATCATGATCGTTATTGTCCTTGTCCCTGTGGCTGGCCTGTGCAGTCTCATTGTGACAATCTTGTTGTCCTATAACAGTCCCATTGTACAGAGAAAAATGAGGCCAAGAGAGGACATTCCATATTGATGTTGATGGCAGTCACCGGTTTCTTTCTTTCCTTCTTTTGGTACTGCGGATTGAACTCAGGGACACTCTAGCAGTGAGCCCCATCCCCAACCCTGTTTGTATTTTATTTAGAGACAGGGTCTCACTGTTGCTTAGGGCCTCACTGAGTATCTGAGGCTGGCTTTGAACTCGTGATTCTCCTGCTTCAGCCTCCTGAGTCACTGGGATTACAGGTGTGTGCCCTGATGCTGGGCTCCTCCATCATCTTATCCTAGTAGAGAGAGGAGGGACACTTTCACACAGTGAATCTCATGTGTGCTAGGCACATGTGTGCTACGACTGAGCTACATCCACAGCCCTTTTGTCTCTTTTTGTTTATTTATTTATTTATTTTTAAAAACACTAAATCCCACAACCACCACCAGGTTAAAAGTTATAAATGTTTCTGTTCTTTCAGGGGTTTGAGGAATTACAAATGTATAGTTTTCATGCAGAAGTCTATATTTTAAAATTTTACCCATTCCTGGGTAATAAAAAGACCTTAGAACACCTTAAACTCATTTAGTTTCTTTTCAATTCATATGTTACTGAGGTTTGGAATTTTAAGTCTGTTTTCTTCTATGTTATTTCCCCACTAGACATAACTGTTTTTTAATTAGTTGATTTTTAAGATGGGGTTTTGGTCTATTGCTCAGGCTGGCTTCAAATTCCTGGGCTTGATAGGCACAATGATGCATGCTTGTAATTCCAGTGATTTGAGAGGCTGAGACAGGAGGATCATAAATTGGTGGCCACCCTCAGCAACTTAGTCTAAAAAAAATAAAAAGGACTGGGGATATAGGTCAGTGCTGAAGCACCCCTGGGTGGTTTGATTACCAGTATCAAAACAAAAACAAAAAAGAAAGAAAGGAAGGAAAAACAGCCTCCTGGACTTAAGCAATCCTCCTGCCTCAGCCTCCAGAGTCGTTGGGACTGCAGTTAAACACTACCAAGCCCAGCTAATGTTACTATTGAAAGTGAAAAATGTTCTCTTATATTTCATGCGCGTATGGACCCTTTTCTTCATTCTTTCTTCTTTCTGGTACCTTCTATTTTGGTATCTTGTCTTCTGCCCACATATATCCTTTATAATTTTCCATAATGAAGATCTGATGGTTAGAAACTCTGTTTTGTCGTCTGAAAATATTTTACTTGTGTGAAGAGAATTGAAATTTTATTACATTCAATGAAATATGAAAACATATGTTGTAGGCTGAATTGTGTCCCCTAATATCCAGTACCTCAGAATGTGGACAGATTTGGCGATAGGGCCGTTAAAAGAGGTAATTTAAAGTAAGTTGGTTAGGGTGAGCCCTAATCCAGTCCAACCAGTGTCCTTATAAGACAAGTAAATTACAAGGGAACACAGACTCTGGGCAGAGGAAAGAGCAGGTGAGGGCACCGTGAGAAGGCAGCTGTCTGCAAGCTAAGGAGAAAGGCCACAGAAGAAATGGAACCTTCCGTCAGCCTGAGCTTGGATTTTTTGACTTAAAAATATCTGTTGTTTAAGTCATCCAGTCTGTGGTATTTTGTGATGGCAACTCTAGCAAACTAACACCAGGTACATTCTTAAAAGTTATTTTTGCAGAGTTTAAAAGTCTACATTAGAAGTTCCATAAGGCTGGGAACGTAACTCAGTGTAGAGTATTTGTCTAGCATGTGCATGGCTCTAAGTTCAATCTCTAGCACTATTAAAAAAAATCTGGGTGCAGTGGTGCCCACCTGTAATCCCAGCAACTTGGGAAGCTGAGGCAGGAGGATCACAAGTTTGAGTTCAGACTCAGCAACTCATTGAGACCTTAAGCAACTTAAGAAGACCCTGTCTCCAAGTGAAAAATAAAAAGGAATCGGAGAGCCGAGCACAGTGGTGCATGCCTGTAATCCCAACAGCTCGGGAGGCTGAGGTAGGAGGATCTCGAGTTCAAAGCCAGCCTCATCAAAAGCGAGGCGCTAAGCAACTCAGTGAGACCCTGTCTCTAAGTAAATTACAAAATAGGGGCTGGGGATGGGGCTCAGGGGTCGAGTGCCTCTGAGTTCATTCTCCAGTACTAGGGAAAAAAAAAAGTAGTTCTCTTTTGCCAGGTGTGATGGTGAACACCTGAAATCCCAGCTACTAGGGAGACCGAGGTAGGAGGATAGAAAGTTGGAGACCATTATGGACAAACTTAGCAAGATCTTGTCTCAAAATAAAATAAAAATGACTGAGGATGTGGCCCAGTGGTAGAGTGCTTACCTAGCATGAAAGCTAGGTCATGGGGTCTCTCTCCAGTAGCTCCCCCACCCAGAACAAGTTCTGTTCTTCAGCACATCGAAGGTTTCATTTCATATCCTTGTGACTTTTTTTTTTTTTAAACTGGGAATTAAACCCAGGGGCTTAACCACTGCTTGTCTCAAAATACCATAAAAAATGACTTTATTTTGAGATAGAGTTTCACTAAATTGCTGAGT